GAGTGTGTCGCAAGCGTCTGGGCTCCAGACGTCCCGGGTTCGGCGGTTCCGGGTGTGAGCTCGGTCCTGGCATCCGGGTCCAGCCAGGCTGGCGAGCCCCTCTCACCCCGGCTGGACTTGGCTCTCCCGTCTCCTCCGGACTGGGCGGCTCCCCAGATTAAACGGGGGCGCCTTTCCGGGGAGGCCAGGTCGAGGCCGCGCGGCCGCTCCTCTGTCCTTCCCAAGGTCGACGCCAGACACCCTTTGGCGGCATTTCCCAGGAGTTTAGGAAGCTGGGCCGTTCCTCCGAGGATGGGTGGCCAGGGGGATGGCACTCGGTGACACAGGACTAGTGAACACGGTTTTCGTGGAGGAGACCAGCTCTGGATCTCACGGGGAACCTATGAGGGCCGGAGATGCGCCTTGATGAGCTCGCGGCCAGCCCGGATGTGGAGTGTGACACGGGTGTGTGCGCGTCCGTGGCCGCTTTTCCCCGTGCCTGCCCAAGCCAAGGGCACGCGGGGCCGTGAGAAGTTAGCTCAGCAAAACGTTTGGTCTGCCTTTCTAGGAAAAGCACAGGAGTCTGCTCCCGTGGACTCGCGGGAGTGCAGGGGACTGCCTCTGAGGGACAGAGCGGCCTCTGGACACCAGTTCTCTAATTAGTTGTTTTTCAGGTCGGTTCAAGGGAAATGGAGGTCAAGGCGAAATTCCAGGGGGAGAGGAGAGACTGCTCAAAGTGTAACCGTTTGCTCTTTCAGGGCTCCCAGGCAGTAAGGGCAGAGCAGAAAACCCATTTGTGTCCCCATGTGGTGGCTCATGCCTGTCATCCCAGCACTTTGGGAGGCTGAGGCCAGCGGACTGCCTGAGCCCATCGTCTGGGCAACTTGGCGAGACCTTGTCTCTACAATAAATAAAAATGGGCCGGGCATGGTGGCATGCGCCTGTAGTTCCAGCTACTTGGGAGGCTGAGGCAGAAGGATGACCAGAGCCCAGCAGGTCGAGGCTGCGGTGGCCAGGAGCGAGCCACTGCACTCCAGCCTGGGTGACAGAGTAAGACTCTGACTCAAAAAAGCAAAAACAAAGTAAACCCATTTGTGAATTATTTTTATTGATACAGGATGTTAACCATACTTTACATCTGTGTAGGAATTTTTTCAGAAATCCCTTCCACAGGAAGTTTTCCTTGAGCTTTTCTAAGGGAGCTTAAAATACGATAAACTTGGAAATGGAGACAGGTTCTGCCACTAACTAGCTGTGTGTCCTTGAACAAGTCTACTTCTCTCAGTTTTCGCCACCTATAAAAATAGAGATAAGACCATTTACTGAATAGGTTCTCCTCCCCCCAGTGGTAGGTGGTGGAGGCTTGGTCCAAGATGAGTTGGTTGAGAAATTGGGGTTTTGCTTCTGGAATCTCAATTTTATTCCATTGATCTATATGCCTGTTCCTGTACCAATGCTTTGTTGTAGCTTTGTAGTAAAGTTTGAAGTCTGGTAATGTGAAAAAAATAAATAAAATAAAATAGAGATAAGCATACTCACCTTGGAGGGCATTGTGAAGACTGGAGATCATATGCGAACCTCTCTGATTACATGGTATGTGGTCAGTGCTTATTACATCGTCACTAATATTAGGATTATCTAACAGTTAAATGAAAGGCTGAGGTGCGGTGATTGGACTTTGGCCAAGGCAACAAGAAAAAAAAACTGGGCTGTTATTTAAACTTGGGTCTTTGGATTTCTGGGCAAGTGAGCCTATTAACAATATTTACCTGACAACTTTAAATGTCTCTCCGGTAACCAGGGAGAGAGAGTTTTCGTTTACAGTTTAGTCACATGTGGTTCCTGATTTATGATAGCTCAACTTAATTTTTTGACTTTTCTATGGGTTTATTGGGATGTAAGCCCCTCGATTTATGGTTTGGTTTTTGCTTCTACTCTATTTACTGTGAGTTTACTGGGGTATTAAATGTATTTTCCACTCATGATAGTTTTGATTTATAATGGATTCATTGATATATAATCCCTCGATAAATCGAAGAACAGTCTGTACTTTGCATTAACAGTATTCCTTATTATTAAAAAAGCCTTAATTCTGAGCTCAAGATATATGATTTTATTCAAAACATTTAATTTTATTCAAACCACTTTATTATTATTATTATTATTATTATTATTTTGAGTTGGAGTCTCACTCTGCCACCCAGGCTAAAGTGCAGTGGCATGCTCACAGTCACCGCAGCCTCAGCCTGCTGGGCTCCCAGGATCCTTCCACCTTAGCCTTCCAAGTAGCTGGAACTACAGGCATGCGCCACCATGCCTAGCTAAATTTTTTGATTTACTGTAGAGATGAGTTCTCACCAAGTTGACCAGGTTGGTCTTAAACCCATGGGCTCAGGCAGTCCTCTCACATCGGCCTCCCAAGGTCCTGGGATTATAGGTGTGAACCACCATATCCAGCCTCACTTAATTATTAATATCCCTGCTTCACAGAGAAAAAACATGCATTGAGGCTCAGGACTTTTTCAAAATTACACTTATCAAGCAGCAGAGTCTGGATTTAAACCCAGCTTGTTTTTTTGTAAATTTGTTTTTTAATTTTAATTTTTAGAAAGGGAATCTCACTCTGTCACTCACACAGTGGCATGATCATAGCTTACTACAACTTTGAACTCCTGAGCTCAAGTGACCTTTCCACCTCAGCCTCCTAAGTAGTGGGTCCTACAGGCATGTGCCATCACACCTAGCTTAACCCAGGTTTGTTTGTTTGTTTTTCTCCAAATTTCACGAAGCTATATTGCTTCTCAAGTTTTCCATAGTCTCTCAGTACAACTTGGTAGCCATGTTCAATGTTTTCAGTGCACTGACTTGCAAGATAAAATTCCAAGCCAATTGGTGTGTATGGTGGCATGCACCTGTAGTCCCAGTTACTTGGGAGACTGAGCTGGGAGGATTTCTTGAGCCTAGGAGTTTGCAACTGCAGTGAGCCATGATCATGTCACTATACTCAGCCTGGAAAATACGGTGAGACCCTAATTTTTTTTAAAAAGTGGCCAGGCGTAGTGGCTCATGCCTGTAATCCCAGCACTTTGGGAGGCCGAGGTGAGAGGATTGCCTGAGCC